GTCTATGTATGTATGTCCATGTGTGTCTATGTATGTCCATGTATGTCCATGTATGTCTATGTATGTCCATGTGTGTCTTTGTATGTCCATGTTTGTCTATGTATGTATGTCCATGTGTGTCTATGTATGTCCATGTATGTCCATGTGTGTTTTGTGTGTCTATGTATGTCCATGTGTGTCCATGTGTGTCTATGTATGTCCATGTGTATCTATTATGTCCATGTATATCTATGTATGTCCATGTGTGTCTATGTATGTTTTTGTATATCTATGTATGTCCATGTGTGTCTATGTATGTCCATGTATATCTTTTTTGTATGTCCATGTATATCTATGTATGTCCATGTATATCTATTTATGTCCATGTATATCTATGTATGTCCATGTTATCTATGTATGTCTATGTATGTATGTCCATGTATGTCTATGTATGTATGTCCATGTGTGTCTATGTATGTCCATGTATGTCCATGTATGTCTATGTATGTCCATTGTGTCTATGTATGTCCATGTATGTCTATGTATGTATGTCCATGTGTGTCTATGTATGTCCATGTATGTCCATGTGTGTCCATGTGTGTCTATGTATGTCCATGTGTGTCCATGTGTGTCTATGTATGTCCATGTGTGTTATTTTATGTATGTCCATGTATGTCTATGTATGTATGTCCATGTGTGTCTATGTATGTCCATGTATGTCCATGTATGTCTATGTATGTCCATGTGTGTCCATGTGTGTCTATGTATGTCCATGTGTGTCTATGTATGTCCATGTATATCTATGTGTGTGTCAATGTGTGTCTATGTATGTCCATGTATGTCTATGTATGTCTATGTGTGTCTATGTATGTCCATGTATGTCTATGTATGTCCATGTATGTCCATGTATGTCCATGTGTGTCCATGTGTGTCTATGTATGTCCATGTGTGTCCATGTGTGTCTTTTTTTGTATGTCCATGTGTGTCTATGTATGTCCATGTATGTCTATGTATGTATGTCCATGTGTGTCTATGTATGTCCATGTATGTCCATGTATGTCTATGTATGTCCATGTGTGTCCATGTGTGTCTATGTATGTCCATGTGTGTCTATGTATGTCCATGTATATCTATGTGTGTCAATGTGTGTCTATGTATGTCCATGTATGTCTATGTATGTCTATGTATGTCCATGTATGTCCATGTATGTCCATGTATGTCTATGTATGTCCATGTGTGTCTATGTATGTCCATGTATGTCCATGTATGTCTATGTATGTATGTCCATGTGTGTCTATGTATGTCCATGTATATCTATGTATGTCCATGTGTGTCTATGTATGTCCATGTATGTCTATGTATGTCCATGTATATCTATGTATGTCCATGTGTGTCTATGTATGTCCATGTGTGTCTATGTATGTCCATGTATTTCTATGTATGTCAATGTGTGTCTATGTATGTCCATGTGTGTCTATGTATGTCCATGTATGTCCATGTATGTCTATGTGTGTCTATGTATGTCGTGTGTCCATGTATGTCCATGTGTGTCCATGTACAGTTGCAAGAAAAAGTATGTGAACCCCCTGGGATTACGTGGAGTTTTGCATGAATTGGGCATACAATGTGCTCTGAACGTCATCTAAGTCACAACAATAGAAGAACACGGTCTGCTGAACATAATATACACACAAACATTAGATGTTGCCATGGTTTAATTGCACATAACATGTAAACATTCACAGTGCAGGGAGGAAAAAGTATGTGAACCTTTGGACTTAATAACTGGTTGACCCTCCTTTGGCAGCAATAACCTCAACCAAACGTTTCCTGTAGTTGCAGATCAGACCTGCACAACGATCTGGAGTCATTTTGGACCACTCCTCTTCACAAAACTGTTTCAGTGTAGCAATATTCTTGGGATGTCTGGTGTGAATCGCTCTCTTAAGGTCATGCCACAGCATTTCAATGGGTTTGAGGTCAGGACTCTGACTGGGCCACTCCAGAAGGCGTATTCTGTGCTGTTGCAGCCATTGTTTTGTTGAATTACTTGTATGCTTTGGGTCATCATTGTCCTGTTGCATCACCCCATCCTCTGCGGAGCTTCAGTTGGCGGACAGATGGTCGTACGTTTTCCTGCAAAATGTCTTGATAAACTCTGGAATTCATTTTCCCATCAATGACAACAATCCGTCCAGCCCTGAGGCAGCAAAGCAGCCCCAAACCATGATGCTCCCTCCGCCATGTTTCACAGTGGGGATGAGGTTTTGATGTTGGTGTGCTGTGCCTTTTTTTCTCCACACATAGTGTTGTGTGTTCTTCCCAAACAACTCAATCTTGGTGTCATCTGTCCACAGTATATTCTGCCAGTAGTGCTGTGGACACATCCAGGTGCTCTTTTGCAAACTTCAAACGTGCTGCAATCTTCTTTTTGGCCAGCAATGGCTTCCTCCGTGGTGTCCTCCCATGTACTCCATTCTTGTTTAATGTTTTCCTTATTGTAGATGTGTCAACAAAAATGTTAGCATGTGCCAGAGATTTCTGTAGGTCTTTAGCTGACACTCTGGGATTCTTCTTTACCTCATGCAGCATTCTGCGCTGGGCTCTTGCAGTCATTTTTACAGGACGACCACGCCTAGGGAGAGTAGCAACAGTGCTAAACTTTCTCCATTTGTAGACAGTCTGTCTTACCGTGGACACAGGAACATCAAGGCTCAAGGAGATACTTTTGTAACCCTTTCCAGCTTCATGCAAGTCAACAATTCTTGATGGTAGGTCTTCTGAGAGCTCTTTTCTGCGAGGCATGGTTCACATCAGACAGTGCTTCTTGAAACCAGTAAACCCAAAACAGGTGTCAGCAACACATCCAATATCATCACACTGATTGGAGTCAAGGTTGGCTCACTCCTGGCTCCAATTAGCTCTGGGAGAAGTCATTAAGCTAGGGCCTCACATACTTTTTCCTCCCTGCACTGTGAATGTTTACATGTTATGTGCAATGAAACCATGGCAACATCTAATGTTTTGTGTAGTATTATGTTCAGCAGACTGTGTTCTTCTATTGTTGTGACTTAGATGATGTTCAGAGCACATTTTATGCCCAATTCATGCAAAACTCCACGGAATCCCAAGGGGTTCACATACTTTTTCTTGCAACTGTATGTCCATGTATATCTATGTATGTCCATGTGTGTCCATGTATGTCCATGTATATCATGTATATCTATGTATGTCCATGTCTATGTATGTGTATGTCCATGTATGTCCATGTATATCTATGTGTGTCCATGTATATCTATGTATGTTCCCACATGGGGTGTTGCGCTTCCATTGCGATGTAAACTCCCTCCTGCAGCATCTTTATGGCGTTTATTCAGTGAATCGTCTGACAAACGCCTCCGACACGTGAATGTCGTTAAGTTTTGCCGTCACGTGTCCTTTACAAACGTCTCCTAAAGCGTGACATCATCGCGGTATACACGCTATGCGTTTGGCGGACCCGTGTGTGAGAGTAGCCCAAACGTCTCATTCCTTGGACATGTGCACTGAGCAGTGTTCCCGTGACCAGACGTACACGCGTGTTTTCCCGATCTCATGGAAAGTTGTGTTTTATCGTTCCTTCTTCCCGGGGAATACACAGAACATGGCGGCGCCTCTGCTGCTTCGGGACATTGCTGCAAATGTCCTGTACTTGGTCCTCGCACGGCGCCGATCTCTGCGGGGAACGCCCATGTTGGCGTCTGGCGAGTGTCAGCGTCCGATTCCGCAGATCGGTCCGTCCTCATCGATCATCCCGCTCTTCTCTCCTCCTCCTGCGATATCACACAGAAGCGACATCTCCAGAATGGGCCGTGTGGGATCACTTGGCTGCGACATCTGAACACGTCGCAGTTGGCTGTCATGTGACCTCATCCTCCAGCAATGCTGGCCGCAGTCACAGGGCGAGGCTGCGAGCTGAGACTTCGCTGCGGCTCAGAGAAGCTGCCCCTCCCCCCACCGTATCTGAAAATACATTTCAGAGGGAACTCTTCTGTGTGATAAAGCAGAAAATAAAGAATTTTCTGAACATTTCGGGCTATTTCCGCCACTTTTTGTTTACAGTTTAAAATCAGTATTTTTTTGCTAGAAAATGTCTCAGAACCCCAAACATTTCCTTCAGAAATCAGAGAAAATAAATTGGCGGTTTTTTGGCATTTTTGTTTTTGTGACGCAGTATTTGCGGGACGGTTCCTTCAAATGTAATTTTTAGGAAGAGACTGCGGACACAGTACAGGAGATGACCAGAGACTGCGGACACAGTACAGGGGATGACCAGAGACTGCGGACACAGTACAGGAGATGACCAGAGACTGCGGACATAGTACAGGGGATGACTAGAGACTGCGGACACAGTACAGGGGATGACCAGAGACTGCGGACACAGTACAGGAGATGACCAGAGACTGCGGACACAGTACAGGAGATGACCAGAGACTGCGGACACAGTACAGGAGATGACCAGAGACTGCGGACATAGTACAGGAGATGATCAGAGACTGCGGACACAGTACAGGAGATGACCAGAGACTGCAGACACGGTACAGGAGATGACCAGAGACTGCGGACATAGTACAGGAGATGACCAGAGACTGCGGACACAGTACAGGAGATGACCGGAGACTGCAGACAGTACAGGAGATGACCAGAGACTGCGGACACAGTACAGGAGATGACCAGAGACTGCAGACACTGTACAGGAGATGACCAGAGACTGCAGACATAGTACAGGAGATGACCAGAGACTGCAGACATAGTACAGGAGATGACCAGAGACTGCGGACATGGTACAGGAGATGACCAGAGACTGCGGACACGGTACAGGAGATGACCAGAGACTGCGGACACGGTACAGGAGATGACCAGAGACTGCGGACACGGTACAGGAGATGACCAGAGACTGCGGACACGGTACAGGAGATGACCAGAGACTGCGGACACGGTACAGGAGATGACCGGAGACTGCGGACACGGTACAGGAGATGACCAGGAGACTGCGGACACACGGTACAGGAGATGACCGGAGACTGCGGACACGGTACAGGAGATGACCGGAGACTGCGGACACGGTACAGGAGATGACCGGAGATGAGACTGCGGACACGGTACAGGAGATGACCGGAGACTGCGGACACGGTACAGGAGATGACCGGAGACTGCGGACACGGTACAGGAGATGACCGGAGACTGCGGACACGGTACAGGAGATGACCGGAGACTGCGGACACGGTACAGGAGATGACCGGAGACTGCGGACACGGTACAGGAGATGACCGGAGACTGCGGACACGGTACAGGAGATGACCGGAGACTGCGGACACGGTACAGGAGATGACCGGAGACTGCGGACACAGTACAGGGGATGACCAGAGACTGCGGACATAATGCTGGAAAACGTCTGATTGACACTCCGGATGGAGCAGCCCAGACAGAACCGGCAGTGAGGGGGCGGAGTCATGGCTCTACATTTCTACCTTCTATGGATGTATATAGTCAGCTGACCTTTCTTCCACCAATCTGTGAAGGAGAGTGGAGAAAATACCAGAAAAGGAGACGAGTGCGCCACCTGCTGTCTGAAAATGAGAACACAAAACAATCAGATCCACCAGCAAGGAATCTGTTATTGAAAAGGAAAACATCTCTCCAAACACAACACAGTCACCTCCATAATTCGGGATAAATGTGATTTCATCTCTAATATTTGAGTCCCTGGGGACACGGAGCACTTACATGTGGGGGGGGGCAGCCATCTTGGCATTGGCCGGGAATCAAACCCGGGTCATCTGCTTGGGAAGCAGCTATGCTGACCACTGCACCCCCAATGCTAGGGAGTGTGTCTGGAGTGTGGGAGGAAACCAGAGTACCTGGAGGAAACCCAAGCAAGCATTAATGAGCATTCACACCTCAGACCTCTCCCGCCCTTGGAAACAGAAGATGTGTTAATGAGCGACTCACACCTCAGACCTCTCCCGCCCTTGGAAACAGAAGATGTGTTAATGAGCGACTCACACCTCAGACCTCTCCCGCCCTTGGAAACAGAAGATGTGTTAATGAGCGACTCACACCTCAGACCTCTCCCGCCCTTGGAAACAGAAGATGTGTTAATGAGCGACTCACACCTCAGACCTCTCCCGCCCTTGGAAACAGAAGATGTGTTAATGAGCGACTCACACCTCAGACCTGTCCCGTCCTTGGAAACAGAAGATGTGTTAATGAGCGACTCACACCTCAGACCTCTCCCGCCCTTGGAAACAGAAGATGTGTTAATGAGCGACTCACACCTCAGACCTCTCCCGCCCTTGGAAACAGAAGATGTGTTAATGAGCGACTCACACCTCAGACCTCTCCCGCCCTTGGAAACAGAAGATATGTTAATGAGCGACTCACACCTCAGACCTGTCCCGTCCTTGGAAACAGAAGATGTGTTAATGAGCGACTCACACCTCAGACCTCTCCCGCCCTTGGAAACAGAAGATGTGTTAATGAGCGACTCACACCTCAGACCTCTCCCGCCCCTTGGAAACAGAAGATATGTTAATGAGCCCTTGGAAACAGAAGATGTGTTAATGAGCGACTCACACCTCAGACCTCTCCCGCCCTTGGAAACAGAAGATATGTTAATGAGCGACTCACACCTCAGACCTCTCCCGCCCTTGGAAACAGAAGATATGTTAATGAGCGACTCACACCTCAGACCTGTCCCGCCCTTGGAAACAGAAGATATGTTAATGAGCGACTCACACCTCAGACCTCTCCCGCCCTTGGAAACAGAAGATATGTTAATGAGCGACTCACACCTCAGACCTGTCCCGTCCTTGGAAACAGAAGATATGTTAATGAGCGACTCACACCTCAGACCTCTCCCGCCCTGGGAAACAGAAGATATGTTAATGACCATTCACACCTCAGACCTCTCCCGCCCTTGGAAACAGAAGATATGTTAATGAGCATTCACACCTCAGACCTCTCCTACCCTTGGAAACAAAAGATATGTTAATGAGCGACCAACACCTCAGACAATCTCCACCCATACTGCCCTCTGCGTCTACTCTCTGTATTTCTCTGAAAGTTAATAATGTATCACTTTTCAGTGCATTCTGGGGATTTGTTAGGTTCTCCTGTACGTATCTTTAAAAAACGCTTCTAAACGCAAACGCACATAAACGCGGCTAAACAGGCGTTTTCTAGCAGTCATCGTTCAGAAACGTCCCGTGTACATGGGGCCTAATGGAGGATATAAGTCACTGGGGGGTTCACAGATGGATGTGGGGTGGGGGGGGGTCTGTACCAAATGACAGGCTGCCAGGAGGCGCGGCGTTCCCATGTATCCGCACATCCAGGGGTCACCTGTGGATGGGGAGGGATGAGCGACCCCGGACACAGACCCGGATTGGACATCCACAGGGGACATTGTACTCTTTTTTATTGTGTAATCAGCTACAAATGTCTCCAAAAAAAAAACGAAAATATATATCTTTAAAATGTTATTGTAATCAGCTTGGAGAACATTTTGGAGCCTACCTCCTTATAAGGCCCCGCCTATCTTGTTCCTCTCCGCTCGGATTACGTCATAAAATGAAGCAAATATATATAAAATATGGATATCAATAGAAAGGATTACCGGTCCGCGGGGGATTACCACAGAAGCGGCTCCTCTGCACGGCTCCCTATGGCGGAACCCACTTCCAAGATGGCTCCGGAGCCGCGCGACGTCACACACGCGCTCTGTCCTCGCGCCGCCGCCATCTTTGGTTTGGTTTCCTGCGTAGACCTGCTGTTTGTTTTGGTCTCCGGGAAAATGGCCGCCGGCTGAAATCTCTATCCGGCCGTGCAGACATCGGTGATCGGTCCTCTAGAGGCTGATATCGGTGTGGCCGGTGATCTCCGGAACTAAGGACTCCTCCGTGTTGCCCCTTGAGGGTGGTTGAGTTCGGGGACACATGCTGCTGAGGAGAGTGCTGACCAGCTGCAGGAGGCTGTCCACCATGAAGCTGCAGAGCCCCGAGTTTCCAGGCTGTGTTCACTGAAGGTCTGCAGACCCTGACAGGTGAGATCTGGGGGGAGGGGTGAAGACCCTGACAGGTGAGATCTGGGGGGAGGGGTGAAGACCCTGACAGGTGAGACATGGTGGGGGAGGGGTGCAGACCCTGACAGGTGAGATCTAGGAGGAGGGGAGCAGACCCTGACAGGTGAGATCTAGGAGGAGGGGAGCAGACCCTGACAGGTGAGATCTGGGGGGAGGGGTTGAAGACCCTGACAGGTGAGATCTGGGGGGAGGGGTGAAGACCCTGACAGGTGAGATCTGGGGGGAGGGGTGAAGACCCTGACAGGTGAGATCTGGGGGGAGGGGTGAAGACCCTGACAGGTGAGGAGGGGAGCAGACCCTGACAGGTGAGATCTGGGGGGGAGGGGTGAAGACCCTGACAGGTGAGATCTGGGGGGAGGGGTGAAGACCCTGACAGGTGAGATCTGGGGGGAGGGTGTGAAGACCCTGACAGGTGAGACATGGTGGGGGAGGGGTGCAGACCCTGACAGGTGAGATCTAGGGGAGGGGAGCAGACCCTGACAGGTGAGATCTGGGGGGAGGGGTGAAGACCCTGACAGGTGAGATCTGGGGGGAGGGGTGAAGACCCTGACAGGTGAGATCTGGGGGGAGGGGTGAAGACCCTGACAGGTGAGGAGGGGAGCAGACCCTGACAGGTGAGACATGGTGGGGGAGGGGTGCAGACCCTGACAGGTGAGATCTGGGGGGAGGGGTGAAGACCCTGACAGGTGAGATCTGGGGGGAGGGGTGAAGACCCTGACAGGTGAGATCTGGGGGGAGGGGTGAAGACCCTGACAGGTGAGACATGGTGGGGGAGGGTTGCAGACCCTGACAGGTGAGATCTAGGGGAGGGGAGCAGACCCTGACAGGTGAGATCTGGGGGGAGGGGTGAAGACCCTGACGGTGAGATCTGGGGGGAGGGGTGAAGACCCTGACAGGTGAGATCTGGGGGAGGGGTGAAGACCCTGACAGGTGAGATCTGGGGGGAGGGGTGAAGACCCTCAGAGAGGTGAGGAGGGGAGCAGACCCTGACAGGTGAGACATGGTGGGGGAGGGGTGCAGACCCTGACAGGTGAGATCTGGGGGGGGGAGGGGTGAAGACCCTGACAGGTGAGATCTGGGGGGAGGGGTGAAGACCCTGACAGGTGAGATCTGGGGGGAGGGGTGAAAGACCCTGACAGGTGAGACATGGTCGGGGTGCCCCTGACAGGTGAGTTGAGGGGGGGGAGCACATGACAGGTGAGATCTGAGGGGTGAAGACCCTGACAGGTGCAGGGGGGCTGTGACCACCCTGACAGGTGAGATCTGGGGGAGGGGTGAAGACCCCGACAGTTGAGGAGGGGAGCAGACCCTGACAGGTGAGACATGAAGGTGGGGGAGGCAGACCCTGACAGGTGAGATCTGGGGGGAGGGGTGAAGACCGTGACAGGTGAGATCTGGGGGGAGGGGGTGAAGACCCTGACAGGTGAGATCTGGGGGGGGGGGGTGAAGACCCTGACAGGTGAGACATGGTGGGGGAGGGGTGCAGACCCTGACAGGTGAGATCTAGGAGGAGGGGAGCAGACCCTGACAGGTGAGATCTGGGGGGAGGGGAGCAGACCCTGACAGGTGAGATCTGGGGGGGAGGGGTGAAGACCCTGACAGGTGAGATCTGGGGGGAGGGGTGAAGACCCTGACAGGTGAGATCTAGGAGGAGGGGAGCAGACCCTGACAGGTGAGATCTGGGGGGGAGGGGGAGCAGACCCTGACAGGTGAGATCTGGGGGGAGGGGTGAAGACCCTGACAGGTGAGATCTGGGGGGAGGGGTGAAGACCCTGACAGGTGAGGAGGGGAGCAGACCCTGACAGGTGAGACATGGTGGGGGAGGGGTGCAGACCCTGACAGGTGAGATCTAGGAGGAGGGGAGCAGACCCTGACAGGTGAGACATGGTGGGGGGTGCAGACACACTGGGGCCCCATACTCACTTGGCGGGGGTTGCGGATTGTGGGAACACGCGGCCTCCATGTGTGTTATGATATAGTAGAAATCAAGGCCGAACACATTGCTTCCTATATCCTGTCAGGTTTCCCCATTGGGGAGATTTCCCTTCACCTCCTGTCCCAGAGACAACAGGAAGTGAGAGGAAATCCCGGGTTGTCACCACCAGGGTGCAGACTCATTTCTGACCCCACTGGAGCTCCTGGTTGGTCCCACCAGACCTGGAGCTGTTGGTGACCCCTCGGCCTCCATGTTGGGGGGGAGGGGGGGTGCGATCACACACGCATGCACAGCACTTCCATGTACTTGTGTACGATGAGGGAAGGGAAGTTTATGGTCTTTCAGCATTAAACCTGAAGATTATTCTGCGTATGTTTTGCCCCCCCCCCCCCCGATGTCATCACTGAGTTTTCTGTGCTTCTATATGCAATGCAGGCAGATCAGTGCTGGTGGGAGGGGCCAACAGGAGGCTGTACATGGCTTCCTGTAAACATCACAGCCCCTCCTCAGTCCTCCTCTCAGGAGCCCTCATTCCTGATGCAGCCAGTGGGAGGAGTCATGCAAAATCAGAATGCCTGGATGGGTGGGTGTCAGTCTGGAGGAGTTCCTAGGCAGGCTGTATTTGCATAGGTAACGCCCACATGTGATGCTGAGCCTCCACGATTGAAAGAACTGAAATCCAATGAAAGGGCCGGGGACAGTCAGGCTGGAAAGGAAAGTGCTAGATGATGTTGGACGTCCTGCAGCCAGGAAATGGGGCGGAGCTCTGTCTGACTGGCTGCAGCTTCTAATGCACATTGTGAGAAGATCAGAGTTCAGTGACATCAGAGGAAGACAAAACTTTTCTTTTTAGTTTTGGACATAGTAGGGAATGTTTGTGTTTGCAGTCTGTGTCCCCCTGGGGGGAATTGGCCTTCACTTCCTGTCCTGGTGACACAACAGGAAGTGGGAGGAAATCCCTCCCTAGATGTAATGGGAGGATCTCCTCTGACCTCCTGCGGGGCCATTCTGCTGTCATCCAATGTGACGGATCTTTGTCTTCTCTCAGGTCTGTTCTCTCAGGAGAGGTACGAGTTGCGTATTGCGGGCGGAGCCGTCCGGGACCTCCTTCTGGGTAAACAGCCGCATGACATCGACTTCGCCACCACCGCCACCCCGGAGCAGATGAAGGATCTCTTCCTGAAGGCCGGGATCAGAATGATCAACAACAAGGGGGAGAAACACGGCACCGTCACTGCCAGGGTGAGTGCGGGAAAAGACACGGCACCGTCACTGCCAGGGTGAGTGCGGGAAAAGACACGGCGCCGTCACTGCCAGGGTGAGTGCGGGGAAAAGACACGGCGCCGTCACTGCCAGGGTGAGCGGGAAAAGACAGGGTGCCAGTGCGGGAAAAGACACGGCGCCGTCACTGCCAGGGTGAGTGCGGGAAAAGACACGGCGCCGTCACTGCCAGGGTGAGTGCGGGAAAAGACACGGCGCCGTCAATGCCAGGGTGAGTGCGGGAAAGACACGGCACCGTCACTGCCAGGGTGAGTGCGGGAAAAGACACGGCGCCATCACTGCCAGGGTGAGTGCGGGAAAAGGCACAACGCCGTCACTGCCAGGGTGAGTGCGGGAAATGACACGGCGCCGTCACTGCCAGGGTGAGTGCGGGAAATGACACGGCGCCGTCACTGCCAGGGTGAGTGCGGGAAAAGACACGGCGCCGTCACTGCCAGGGTGAGTGCGGGAAAAGACACGGCACCGTCACTGCCAGGGTGAGTGCGGGAAAAGACACGGCACCGTCACTGCCAGGGTGAGTGCG